CCGCTCTGATTGTCTTCCGCCTTCTTGCCGGCATGGGCGGTGTCGGCAGTCTCACGCTCGGCGCCGGTGTTATCGCCGACCTTTTCCCCACCGAACAACGCGGCATGGCCACTTCCATCTGGGCCCTCGGCCCACTGATCGGTCCCGTCGCCGGGCCCATCGCCGGCGGCTTCATCGGCGAGACCATCGGCTGGCGCTGGGTGTTCTGGATTCTCCTCATCGCCGGCGGGTGCATCGCCGCAGGTATCGAAGTTCTTAACCGGGAGACCTACGCCCCTGTCCTGATCCGGTGGAAGACCGAAAAGCTCGCCAAGGAACTCAACCGCAGCGACCTGCGCAGCGCGTACGACAAAACCACCACCAACCAAGGCGGGCCCCGTCTCAGCGAGGCCCTGAAGCTCGGCCTCAGCCGCCCCTTCCTTCTCCTCTTCAAGTCCCCCATCGTCCTACTACTATCCGTCTACATGGCCTTTGTCTACGGCCTACTTTACCTCTTCTTCACGACCATCTCCTCCGTCTTCCAGGAGGACTATGGCTGGTCGACGGGCATCTCCGGACTCGCCTACCTGGGGATCGGCATCGGCTTCATGACGGGACTCGCCTTGATCGCCTTCTCGAGCGACCGCATCGTCGCCAAGCTGACCGCGCGCAACGGGGGCAAGTTCGAGCCCGAAATGCGGCTAGTGACCATGATCTTCTTCAGCTGTATCCTGCCCATCAGCTTCTTCTGGTACGGCTGGTCCGCCAAGTACAAAGTGCACTGGATCGTGCCGATCATCGGCATGGCCCCCTTCGGGATCGGCATGATGGGCATCTACATGCCCATCCAGACCTACGTCATCGACTGCTACCCGGCGTACGCGGCGTCGGCCAACGCGGCCCTCACGGCCACGCGGTCGCTCGTCGGCGCCCTCCTGCCCCTCGCGGGCCCGGCCATGTTCGATGCCCTCGGGCTGGGATGGGGCAATTCGTTGCTCGGGTTCATTGCGCTGGCGTTTGTGCCGGTGCCGATTCTGTTCAACCGGTATGGCAAGACGATTCGGGAGAAGTTCCCCGTGGATCTGGAGGGGAAAAAGGGGAAGTAAGCTCGGGGAAGTGGTTTCCGGGGCGGATTCTCGTCTCATGTTTCGGGTGTTGTGTAGAATTATAGAGGTTCAATAGACACGTCTCTCCTTCAATCTGGTGGGGCTGGCAGGTAGCAAGCGGTACGACTCGGGTGTGTTGGTCCTCCGTCGCCCGCTCTGCTTTGCCCGCAGGCTACTCTTTATTCCATTTCAAAATGGCCTAGGGACTGGAATCAAAAGCATTCGTTATTCTATGAGTCTTTGCGTGTTCCATTTTTGGTCGGTGTTTCTAAATGTTAGGCCATGTGACTTAAGGGTATTCACCAACCTTGAAGTGTGTGCCCATCTTCAGAATTCAGCTGGTTCAACCAGCCGACCAAACAGCGAAAATTCAAGATATTATTCCTATCATCCATCGCTGCGTTCATGAAACTTCGGGTACTTTTGTTGTCCTAAAGTTCGGTGATAGGAGTCGATTGTCAGATAATGATTTTGAATGGTCCACATATATTTATTTTCCGATGGCCCTGAAGTGCTCACAGCACACTCTGAGTAGAGACTGTAGCTTCTGAGTTTGACAACTTACACGACCAAAAGAATGAATAAGATCAAGATAGTCTCAATACAGTCAGCAATTCACTACTCGAAAACTGGACTGCCTGTAGCAGTCGAGGTGGACCATGGTCAACTCAACCACGTGTCACGTGATCACCACATAGGTTCCTCCTGCTTGGCCAGCCAATTTACAGCTTGCTTTAAACTTCATGTAGTGATCGAGGGCTATTGTCTTGAACTTATAACTTGAAAATGTACATCCAAGTACGAGAAGTCTCTTTCTAGGGGGACCCTCTGGATATGCTTGTTTAACTGACAATTCTCGTGGAGACGATAAACGTTGACGGAGTCGAAGTGTAGCTGGCCAGGCAGAAGACTGTAAATACCTACCATAGACAACGAATCCCATAGAAATTCACTCCTTGTCGCTATTTTCCAAGGTGTAGAAACTCTAGCCGTCTACCTAGACAGTCCAATGACAGTAATCTCCAATATGGGAAGGTGGTTTTCGCGCAAGATGCAGAAGATTTGAATGAATCGGGGGCAATGTTGTTACTCCATGGGGACCTCACAGAATGTAGTAAACCGTGGAGCTGAGTTGTTGATACGAAATCTGCCAGTATTATCATACTGGAGTAACTTAGGATGAGTACTCGCGGCAGAGCGTTGTATCTTACCTATAGAGAAAGGGGTACAGGTGAACTGGAGGCGGTCTTGAAAAGTCGCTATGGGCCCATATCTCCAATCCAGGTGTGCAAGGCCGCTCATACAAAATGGTCCGGTTGGATCATGTATCAGGTATGACTGCTTACTGCAAGATATTGCACCATACGGGTCCTGCATAGTACCGTACGGAGTGCGTGGAGAACGGAAGATTCCAGATCTCCCTAGACCCTTTTCTGGCATGGGAGTACGGAATTCTGCGGACGTTCTAGAACAACTCGCCTATGTAATGATACATCGCATACTTCCTAGGCCGAGGGTAAATTTCACTTTAACTTGCTGTTTTCCGCCAGAATGGAACGCGGCTTTGCTGAGGGAGAGTCCCGTTAGGCCATGAATCTGCTGCTTGGTCTACGCTTACCTAGAAGCAAGACGAAACTGGCCCCCAAGGAAGTTTTGCAATGAAGGGCTATGACAGTGGGTGTCATGGGTCCGGTCTTTCCTCGATTTTATGAGTTAACGGCTGGCTCCGTTGTGTAAGGCTATCTCCGAGGCGAGTTCAGGTTAGCGGAACCTCCGCCTCTAGCGACCAATGAATACCTATTACTCTCCTTGGACAGCTAAGTTAAAACCTTGCTAAGAACTTTACTCAGTGATGGGAAGACACGATACAGAAAGTCAAGGATGCTCAACTGCGTCTATATGAAAGGAGAGTTTTGTGGGTTCCCCAATCAAGCGTAAAGATCTGAGCGTAAAGACTAAAATATCCGAAATATTTTCGACATAATGTAATCGAGCCAGCTAGAGAGGGTAGACATCGTGTCTCGACCGGCCATTGAACTACTCAATACCACCCGCAGTTGAGTTGGCCCTGCTCGGAGCGGAGGGTTGTTGTTTTGATGAAGACCGACTCGTCCCTAAAGGTGTGGAACTACCATCTATCCCCAAGCCATGCGCCAGCTACGTCATCGGATTCAGGCACTAAATTAAGCGACGTCTACAGAGCGCCTAGCGACGAACAATTCAGAACCTGAGTTAACTCCAACGCGACTAGATCGTAGGTGAACAGGGATTGGACTAAGCGAAGTAGTATCGGGGCCAATTTCAGTTGTCGCCCACTTACGCAATGCTTTACTAGCTGGCAGGATTGATGAGTGGTATCTGATTGTTTGCCGCCCAAAATAATTGTAAGGCCAAAGTGTATACATTTTCTGTAACGTATCAAGAGCCCACAATGCTATGCGCACTCTGAAGAACAGGCGTCCAGATGATATGCTCTCGCCAACAATCTGCGTCGAAGCAGGTGAGTACCTGCCACCATCCTCAACCAGCCCGGCGTGAAGGACTCCAATCTCAGGTGCAATTAAGTTATATTAACGTCGGAGGTCAGCGCTGATAAGGACGGCGATGTGACGAAGATCGTTTCTTGGCGACAGCCATTGTTGGACAATCAAGCAGCGAGGCCGACTGAGGAGAGGTGGATAATGGAGAGGGGAAGAGCGGGGCGGGCGGCAAGGATGGCGGAGATCCCGTCGGTCGTCCGGCCGCGGGGTTTTGGCCTGCCCTGGGTTAGTCCCCCGACTTCGGCCTGCTAGCTATAGTGCCGTTCACTCACTGCGTAGCTCTGATTCTGAAATTCTTCACAGCAATAGGAGAAGGGCTATCTGGAGAGTTGCAAGGACTGCGAATTTTCTGAGGCAACGTCAGACACGGGCCGCCAGTCCAATGGGAGAATTGTCTTCATGCGCCCTCCATCGGAGGCCCGCGCTGAGCACCGGCGGCTGGATATGGTTCTGCAGGTGCGGGCAGAACGAGGGGTGCATAACCTAAATGTCAAGGTTATCAGCCGTAGGGAAAGATAGTATGTACGTGAGGGACGAGAGGCCTTGCTAGGAGGGCACGGGATACTACGCCGTAGTATTTGTGGATATTCCCCATCAATCAGCGCACACCCTGCCCCAACAGGTCAGTCATCAAGCAAGCAGGCATTAGCTCCGAGAGCAATGGGCAGACCCTTCCTTATCATGAGGCCGAGGGTGCAGATGTAAAGACTGATCAGAGCATCGAATTTCCTGATGCAGACTAGCGCACTCAGGCTAATAGGCGGCCTGGTAGGGGAAAAGCGGAGTAACTCAACTGATAGTCAGGAGATGGGGGTCCTCTGAAGCATTTGATCTCCTCTTCAGATTCACCCTCCGAGCTTCTACACAGTAGTAGGACGATCGTGTTCGCACATCATGAGCTTGAATTGCTGATCTATTTGGTCCCTGAGAGCAACGGACTGTCTAATCCCTAATGTTGAGTCGACTGAAGCTTTCGCCGAGGATGCCAATGTCTGCCACCACCACCAAGCATAGGCCAAGCGGGAGGAGTGATTGAGCCCTCATTAACCCGTTGCTTCAAGCGTCTTGGCTCGTCAGCCACTATCTGCTTCAATCTTAGTGCTTGCCCTGTGATAGGAACGTGTGCGTCCTTTCAGCCTGTATGGTCTTATCACCTCCAAATTGCTTTGCAGCGAGATACGTCGGAGTCCTGTCTGCAGGTCTCTTGGCTAGACCACATGATACGCGGCCAGAGGACAAGAGAAAGATATAAAGATGGCCTGAAATCCCCTCAAGCTCATGCCTTTTCCATCAGCAAGCATCCTCCGTCTTCAAAGCCCAATCTCGCTGACTTCCGCTCTTCTCTCAATCTCATCATCCCCAACCATCCAACAAAATGAAGACCTCTGCTCTCTTGACCGCTGGCCTTCTGGCCACCGCCGCCATTGCTGCTCCTCTCACCGAGAAGCGCGCCGCTGCCAAGCGTGCCGGCAGCCGTAAGAGCAACCGCCCTCTCAAGCCTGGCACCAGCGAGGCGATCAACCTGACCGGCTCCAAGAACGTCGAGTACTCGTCCAACTGGGCCGGCGCCGTGCTCATCGGTACCGGCTACACGGCCGTCACCGCCGAGTTCACCATTCCCACCCCCTCCCTCCCCTCTGGCGCCTCCAGCCGCGAGCAGTACTGTGCCTCCGCCTGGGTCGGTATCGACGGTGACACCTGCGGCACCGCCATCCTGCAGACCGGTCTCGACTTCTGTATCGAGGGCAGCACCGTCAGCTACGACGCCTGGTACGAGTGGTACCCCGACTACGCCTACGACTTCAGCGGCATCAGCTTCTCCGCCGGCGACGTCGTCAAGGTCACCGTCGACGCCACCAGCAAGACCGCCGGTACCGCCACCGTCGAGAACGTCACCAAGGGCACCACCGTCACTCACACCTTCAGCGGTGGTGTTGATGGCGATCTCTGCGAGTATGTTCTCTTCCTTCCCCCCCCCCACCCTGTTGTCTGTGCAAAAGCCGTGATCACTAACTCCCTTTCACAGGTACAACGCCGAGTGGATCGTCGAGGACTTCGAGGAGAACTCCTCCCTCGTTCCCTTCGCCGACTTCGGCACCGTCACCTTCTCCAGCGCCTACGCCACCAAGAGCGGCTCCACCGTTGGGCCCTCCGGCGCCACGCTCATCGACATCGAGCAGAACAACAAGGTTCTCACCTCTGTCTCCACCTCCAGCAGCTCCGTCACCGTCGAGTATGTTTAAATGGGACTCTTGGGGATGTGAAGCGAGAATGCGGCTTGGGTGGTTGGAGGTCCTTTGGGACGTCGAACGCCTAGGATTCAACGGGATGAGATCATTGGAAATGAAGACGAGAATGAGCGAATATTGTCACTGATTGAGATTGTGCTTTGTTGATTGTGTTAGGGGCTTGCCTCTGAAAATTGAGCTTAGTGTTGCTGCAATATGATTGCTGTGATTGAGAGTTGTTCTTTAGTATCTGAAGTCTAGCCTGCTGGAGATAGTAGGTTGCAATGTGTGTAACTTGGAGGTTAGTACCTCGACTAGGTACGGGTGAACAGGACCCTTAAAGACCAGTTCGAGTACGCTTCATGATGGTCTGCGCTACTGAATAACTGCAAGTTCGACATCGAAGAAATTGTAACACGTAGATGGCACCGTTGCTGCGCCATATGCAGCTATGCTGGAGCGGATGTGAAGATTGCCGAGAGGTGGTAAAGGTCGACTGCGGAAAGACTCGCGGCCTTTTGTGCAGTAACTTAACTTACTTTCCGTTTGTACTGTATCTAAGCAGTGGTGAATCCCCCTCACTTCTGTTCCCCATCTCTTCCCCTCATTTCTCCGCATCAACCACAACATCCATCTTTAACCTCATTGACAATTTCGAACCTGGAAATTATGATTCCATGACAAGCGGCCCTTTCACTTTGGAATGTGACCGATCCTGGGCATTCCTTACCCGCCATGATGGAACCCGCAATCGCCAACGCCAACGCCGCGTCCGGTTTCATTTTATGAGAGTCGCGGGACGAGCCGAAAACCCCCCGATCGCATCCTCCCGCCGGTTCCAGTCACCAGTCTGTGCAAATGTCAACAAAACTCCCATGGTTCGTTCGCATAATGAGCCGATGCTTACTCCGGCAATGATTGCGCCACAGAAAGTTACCCCTGGTAGGCGATAACACGCTGTCACCTCCACGATGAATCGCGGGCGTCTCGCGTACCAATGCGACAAGCTCTGTCGCGCGGTCGGAATCCGATCACGTGCGAAACCACTGCTGACGCTCGACTCCGTACAGCTGATGCTGTGAGGATAGAGCAGAGCTGGTTGCGCCCAAGGTCTCGTCAGTATTGGTCGACGTCATGCCCATTTTACACCTCAGTTCTTGCGCAGATCCAGCTCTATATTGGGTTCTGCTGAGTGAACAGAGCAGAGTTGGTGAGTATCCTGCTACCTTGATCAGAAGCTCCCCTACTGAGAGTTGTGCTTGGTTACGATAGATTGCGCTCCGACCGCGTACCTGATTTCGGAGCTATCATTCGAGCGCACTTATCAGGGAAAGAACCGATCGGTCGGCAATTATCTTCTCGACTATATATCCAAGCACTGCCTTTTAGAGGTTCGATCGTCGAACGATAGAATTGGAAGACCGATACCGAGTCCAGAACACCACATGGAAGGAACACTCCAGGCGTAACGCAAGGCTTACATTTTGAAATCAACTCGCCGGGCTGCGCAAGCACAAGTCTGCAATGCTGCGCGGATGCAGTAAGCTTCAACTCTTATTCAATTCGAGGCTCAGACCTACCGACTGATGTTGTTTTGTAAGACTAGTCTCGTTTTACAATATTTGAGGGTACTGTACAGTTGCAAAGCAATTACCTTGCAATACGACCGCTTCAGCCCTTCCTGCAAGACTGATTTTTTGTTCCAGTGCAGGTCTACACAGAACCAGCTTTTTACTGTCGATGCCTGGCGCTCGAGTCGTCTGAGGTGGTAAAGAAATCTACTGTGCAGAGTTTAGGGTATTGCGACCGCGGGACGGACGACCAGCAAATCTGACTAGATGAGTCGTTACTGCCAAACTCTATAATATTACAAATTTGCACCCATCGCTAGGATTAAGTCATCCTCTTTTCTTGCTTATGCTGTATCTAGTCTATGCGACCGTCATAAGTCATTGCAGAGACTCGAAGTTGCCGGTGGCATGAACTGGTGATCAGCGACGGAACCAACCCAGAACAGCAGAGGACCAGGACAAGGCTCCATCTGCCGTTTCGAAAACGATCACACGAAAGAATTCAAGACGAGATATATCGAGCCTCTTCCAGGTAGGTGTCTCCGGGGTAGTGATGTGGGGCAGTGCACTGACTGCACTACGTAGATCTATTCACATGCGATGGCCGCTCTCCCTGGTGATACACTTTGTCTGTCTTTCGAAGAGCTAGATGATTCTCTGGCACGCACGCTAATTGTAATCGACCATGAGCAAAGCATATGAACCTACCGCGCAATGCGTATGGCCGAGATGAAAGGAAGTCCTGCACAGGGCAAATTAACAAATCAAAAACATGCATCCGTCGACATCATCGCAAGTCCATCAGAGAAAGCCAGTTTCGGAGTGTGAGTAGAACTATCATATCAATTTAGCATCCTTCCGCTGTGATGCTGCACCTTACTCAGGCCAAATGAAAGGATTTCGATTGGTGGAGACTGCTTGAATTGCAGGCAATTCGATTTCACAATCGATCTGAGACAACAGCATGGCCTTATTTGAGCTTGGTATTATACAGTACTCTGTCAGACGCGCAGGAACGGCCCTTGTCCGTGCGTCATCCGTCCAATTTCACCTATGAGGCGATGCTCTCGCTTCTTGAAGACGATTTGACAGGTACAGGCATTCCACGTCCAAAGATAACGGTGTTGGTGGCGAAGGAGCCGCCGACGAGGCCATGCCTCTCGTATTCATTTAATCCTCATCCTTCAAGTGCCGATCGGGTGCCACTGACCACATCATGATTAAGGATCTTCGTTCCGGGATCCATGGACCAGTGAAAGAATCCTGCTGCCACTGCCAAGGCATCTACAGCCTGACTGCGGTCCAGCGTTGATAGAAGACAAGGGTTTGTCTCAACGACTTTGCGGTGCTAGCACGCCAAGTGGAGCGATGGTCCGCTAGTTCGACGCTAAGTGGTGTTAACCACGAGGCTGAAGCAATCACTTTCCGCTCTGACCCAGTCCCCATATTTAGCAGGCGTACTAACGGACCCGGCCGCAGGGTCTAAAAACCCCTGGCCACCAATATGTGTGCTCCCAAATTTTCTTCGCCGCTCGTTGTTTTTGTTCCCCTTCCAGCGTGCTACGCGTCGAAAAAAAACTTCCCCAATGCCTTGGATTCCAACACCATGGGTGTAGACAGTGATCCGGTACACGTGACCGTGGAGGGGTCCCGCCCACCATCTGCTTGGCGCGAGCAGTTTCGTTATTCGAGCATTCCCGATGAGACTCAGGGCAGAAAAGGACGATGGGCAGACCTCTCATCTCGATTCAAACTGCTGGCCAAGGCCGAGGAAGGGAGTGAGTGGATTAGAGGCGCGCTGATATGTACCTGGATTACAGGCACCATCCTAACCGTCAACATCATCATGCTGCTCGTAGCAACGATCATTGCATACCGTGGCCAATGGAAAACAAATCGAGGTCAATTCCAGATGGCGGAGTTGTATAGTGGACAGTGTTCGCGCTCTAGCCACTGGGCGACAGGGCTACACGTGATCATCAACGTATTGAGCACGATTCTTCTCGGGGCTAGCAACTACGTGATGCAATGCCTGGGGGCACCGTCCCGGACAGACATCGATCGGGCTCATGCTAAGTCGCGATGGCTCGACGTCGGCACTTTCAGCTTTCGCAACTTTGCGGTCATGGACCGACGCCGCAAGATTTTATGGTTGCTGCTTTTGATCAGCTCGACGCCAATCCATATGATTTACAACTCCGTCATTTTCTCATCGATTTCGACCCTCGACTATGGAATTTTCATGATACCAGATGATCTATCGCCAACTGAGACTTTGATCGGCAACGACACTACCAGTCGTGACTCGTTTCTGTCTGAGGTTGGGTCCGAGGCAGATGTCGTTCGAACGCAAATTTTCAACGGGACCTTTGTCAATGCGACGGCGAAGGATTGCACCACCAGATACAATGTCGAGTACAATACGGAGTATGGTACACTGATCTATGTCGCAGGTCGACAACACTTTCATAACACTAGCAGTCTTCGGCTTGGAGGTTTGGAGAGATATGCATCGGTGTATGAGATCATGCAGGGTTTGAATGACAATTCGCCTCCAAATGCAAGCAATTTGACGCTGACCAGTGAGTACTGGAGTTATCGCGTCTGGAACTATTCGGTTCCTGATCCCCTAGATGCGAGTGTCTCTTACATCAATCTCGTGGGGCCTGCCTACGAAGACATGGTCCTGAGTGGTAATGCTAGCCTGAGTGCGGACTTGTACACTCTTGCCGAGTACAACTATGCCTACAATCCGTCCTACGAAGCTCTGCGCGCGTACTTGGACACCCCTTCTCACTGGAAGAACAGCTCCTGGGCAGCTGCTGTGACCTTTGAATTGCTAGGTACCGGGTCCATGTCTGATTTCTATACCATCGATCAGACAGGCGCGCGAGAGGTCCCTGTATCACACTGCCTGATCAAAGAGGAGGAGCAACGTTGTCAGCTGTTCTTCAGTCCTCCAATTGCGATTGTCGTCATTGTATGCAATACCATCAAAGTCGTCTGCATGCTGCTGACTGCCCGGGTCAAGCGCACGGACCTCATGTTAAGAGTAGGTGATGCGCTGGCCTCATTTCTCACCCGGCCCGATCCGACTACCCGTGGCCGATGTCTGCTCTCCCGCTCGCAAATGACTCGCGGGCCGCAGGCTTGGACCCTCCCTGGCATTGTTATCGGTTCATGGAAAGGATACACGTTACAACGAAGAGCTCCGAGCCCAACCTCACACTCGCTGGACAATCTCTCGTCGACAATCACCACAAAAGACACCAAATTCTACCCCAGCATTCTTCCACCGCGTAAAAGATGGTACCAAGCGGTCAGCTGGCGACGTTGGACGCTGGTTCTTCTCTTGTAGGGTCCTTACCTCTCGACCTCAACAGCTTTGCTGCAAGAACTAACCCTCATTAGCTTTATCGCTTGCATAGTCACAGCCATCTGGCTAACCACTTACGCTATACGCCAAACCGAAGGCTTCAGCACGGCCATGAGTCTCGGCTTCGCGCAAACCAGCGCCACCACCATGATCCAGTATATTTCCTCGAACATGATCGCCCTCGTCCTTCTCGCCAACACGCCCCAGATAGTCCTCTCCATCCTCTACTTCCTTTCCAATAGTCTTTTGACGTGCATGCTTGTTGCCGAGGAATGGGACCAGTACGCACTGCACCGGCGGCCACTGCGCGTCTCTTGGCCCCGCGGCCAGCAGCAGTCATCCTACTACCTCAGCCTCCGCTACCGATACAGCCTTCCACTGATGATCCTATCCGCGACGCTGCATTGGCTTCTCTCGCAGAGTATCTTCTTCGTCAACATCAAGGCATACGACGTGTACGGCGATGAGGACGAGGGGAACTCGTCACGGGGGTGCTGTTATTCTCCCATGGCGATGTTCATCACCATGTGGGTGGGAATCCTGGCTCTGGGGCTACTGGTCTCTCTGGGAGCGCGGCGTTTCAAGTCCCATATGCCGCTGGCAACGCACTGTAGCGCGGCGATCAGTGCAGCGTGCCATCCGCCAGAGGGGGACGATAGGGCGGCGGGTAAACCGGTCATGTGGGGGGAGATTCCGCGCGAGGCCGAGACACAAGTGACGACGCCGACCCCAGAGTATCCGTGGGCAGCGGAGCGGACGGATGGGGGTGAGCCGTATGGCCACTGCTCGTTCACGTCGTGGGATGTGGTGACGCCGAGTTTGGTGAAGTTGTATTATTAGTTTTTGCAGGTGTATATCACGAATGTGCATGGTCATGTATACGAGACAATAGACCTTTCCTTCGACTGTAAAAGCCAATATATCATACACACGTCTAAACCTACAAGGGCCATGTTCACTCCGAATCACTGCCGGAATCCAGGCCCCGTCCATTAATCGCCAACAATTCCACCGTGCTGCAGGATTAGCATCGTCCACCCAGACTCGGGGAGAAACTTACAAGACCAGATTCGCATTCCCGGGGATAAATGGCGGGGCGCCCCTGGTCGTCTACATTAGCATTCATCTTTCGGAAGCCTAGTCAGGATTCAGATGCGTACTTCTCCCCGTACCCATAATGCCTGTTCCTGTGATCAGCACACCCAGCCCGTACCAGAGGAAAGGGGAAACATACGGTCCGAACGTCAGCAGCGCTTTCTCTCCCAGACTCATCCCGAGCACCCCGACCTCCCAGCCTACCATCCCGAATCAGCTTCTTCAAAATTTTCGGTGGATATACACCAGGTGGGGATGGAAACGGCCATAACTTACCCTTGATTACCGTCCCCATCCCGATCTGGAAAGTAAAAGGATACCCGCGCTTGATGCTGCTGTCGAACCTGCTCCCCACAGTGTGATCTCGTTAGTGCACTCCTGCTTCCTGCAGAATTATCGACGGTATGTAGTCTCCTATACAGGCGGCGATAGCCCGTAGCGAATGTACGAAGCAACGCAAAGGGAGACAGCACTCACCGCCTTCCCCTTCCCCACGACCGCGTCGGATCATGCAGATACCCGTGGTAGTGGACGGTGACCATGTCGCCCTTCTGGGGGTAGTCGACTCCGTTCCCCGGGCGGAGGATCTCTTTGAGGAAGTCGATGAAGCCCATTTCTCTTGCCTCTAGTTAGGTTTAGGGGAGAGGGTGGGGTTTAGGAGGTATAGAATTGGGATTGTTGATGATGTGTGTTAGAGGCGTAGACTGGATTTGATGAGGTGTGCGGGTGCGACCGGGATGCGGAGGAGCGGGCGGGAGGAATCGCGGATTATTGTTGGTCCGGCGGATTACTATCTTGGGAACGTCGGTGGGCAGCTGTGGCAGGGGGATGGTTGTGCGGTTTGCGTGTCTTGATAGTGGGAGCTTACCATGATTCTAGATGGATTGAAGATTTCTAGGTTGGAGTAAAATTGATAATAATTTCATTGTTGAGTGTATGTTTGGCTACTTGAGTGGGTGTTTGGGTCCTTGATTTTGCCCGAGTCGGACACCATTACAAGACCTGGACATATTTATAGGAATCATGACAAAGACAACCTGGGGAGGTTTAGAACATAAAACAATTCCAGCTGGCTTCATTATCAAGCTAGGCATTGTCATAATTGTAGCTGATATTGCCAGCTCGGGGCTTCCCCACAGAGGAGCGCGGGCCGGGCAGTGCCGCCCCTTGAGATCTCCCCCAGGACCCGGTCGATCGCGGTTGGGGTCTTGGGCTAGTCCATGGTTTCAAGGTTGTGTGTGTTAGTCGGTCCCCCCTCTTCTTCATAAACAACTTCCACCCTCGTTCCCCTTCATCCTTATTCACCTCACCATGCCTTCTCCCACTCCCACTCCCCCTTCCCAACCACCAACCGGCTACATCCACAACCTCACCTCAGACCAGTCCACCAAGCTCCGTCAAATCTGGAGCATCATCCTCTACCTCATCAACAACCACGATGACACCACCGCCGAAAGCACTACCGCCCCAACAGCCGCCGGTCTAGCCTCCGCCCTCGCAGCCCACCACCTGCCTTCCCTCGACACCGTCCAACCCATCCTCGACACTCTCCCTCGCCACCCGCTCCCTTCCCTCCGCGCCGGCCTCCTTAGTCTCGCCAGACACGACTCTCCAGATACCCTCCTCCTCCGCTTCCTGCGCGCCCGCAAATGGTCCGTCCCCGCCGCGACCGCGATGCTCTGCCGCGCGATCCACTTCCGCCACACGCAGGACATCGACGCCCGGGTCCTGGCCGCCACCGAGCTGGACGCCCTGTACGAGGCCACCGCACAACCACCGCAGACCCCTCCCATACCGGGCGCCATCGGGGCGACGACCGTGAATACCACCGCGACGGACAGCCAGGCGTTCTTGAACCAGATGCGCATGGGGAAGGCGATCGTCCACGGGACGGATCGCCAGGGCCGGCCGGTCCTGCTCGTGCGCGTGCGGCTGCACCAACCCGGACAACAGAGCGAGGCGGTCATCACCCGGTTCATTTTGCATATGATTGAGACGGTGCGCTTGACGTTGGTCGATCCCGTCGAGACGGCGGTATGTTCTCCTCTCTCACATATTCATCGAGTGTGTCATTTGGAAGGGAGGCTGACGTGTTTGGTGTGTAGACAATCCTATTCGACATGACGGGGTTTTCGGTGTCGAATATGGTGAGTTCACCCCTTCTCATCCACAGATGGCCGGTAGGAAAATATCCTGAAGGGAGAATAGGAATTTGCGCCCGTGCGATTCGTCATCGATTGCTTTCAGGAGAATTACCCGGAGTATCTGGGGACTATGCTGATCCACAACGCTCCGTGGATCTTTTCGGGTGAGGCCCCGCTTCCTGTTTGCAGCTTTTTAATGGGGTAGTGCTTGGGCTGATGCAAGTAGGAATCTGGAAAATTGTCAAATCCTGGATGGACCCCGTCATCGTCTCCAAGGTGCACTTCACCAGGTCCGTCGCCGACCTGGAGCAGTTCCTCGTCCCGGACCAGATCCTCAAGGAGATCGGCGGCCCCGAGGCCTGGGAGTATGAGTTCGTGGAGCCCGTGGCGGGCGAGAACGAGCGCATGACCGAGACAGCCACGCGCGACCGGCTGCTGGCCGAGCGCGAGGAGCTGGCCTCTAAACTGCTGGAGTTGACGGAGGAGTGGCTGGGCGCGGCGGAGCCGGAGAGTGTGGCGGTGCAGCGGACGGAGGCTATTTCAGCCTGGCGCAAGCAGTATTGGGTGGTGGATCCGTTTGTTAGAGGACGCACGTGTCTGGATCGTACCGGGGTGATTCAGGAGGGGGGAAAGATAGACTTTTACACGGGGGTGGATCAGATTCAAGAGTAATGGGGCTTAGATGTAGCGTTGCTGTGTGCATCTACTGAGATTGTTCGATTTGGCTGCTTCGTGGTAGCAGCCTAAAAATGTAGTAGGTAGTATGTGAGTCCCGTCCAGGTCCGGGTTGTGCAACCGGGGCGTTCCTTGGATAGCAGGCCGGGTGACATCGGCACGATGTTCTAATTCATGGTTTTGCAATTCAGATTATCAATTCTGGTCATCTATCTTCTTGCCCATGATTCTCCGTGGTCATATGTCTTGTTTTAATGTATCAGTCGATTCGAGTGCGCAAGGCTTACAAGAGGTTGAGCTGTGCTGAAGAAATCCGACAGAGATACTGGTCCGGGTCACTCTTGAGCAACGCATGGGCACCGTTCCGGGGCTTCCGAAAGTGTCTTCTTTTATCGGGCATCGTACTTCGGTAAGCCAAGCAAGACAAAGTAACTTATAGGCTGCAAAGATAGTTCCCTACTGGACCGGCCATATATACGAGCCGATGCACATGGTACCGTGCATGGTATACAGGAATCAACCTTTCCGAGTGTTCTGCACCAGAACCGGTTTCAATCAGATCCTGACGGGTCCCCGGCCACCACGGGTAGCTGCTGAATTTTTCTTAGTGTCTACCTGAGTTCGCTAGATAAGCTACAACCAGACTCTCCGTACCATGTGTGGTAAGCTGATTGCGGCTGGCCTGGATGAGTGGATCCTTGAATTCAATAGATCGCCAGGCACGGCCAATCCTAATTTGCTGGTCCCGCCGATCGCTCGCGATCGCTCGTAAAAGTGACAAATTAGACGAACCATCCCTAGACTTCCCCCTCTCCGGGAACCCTGTCGAGTCAGTTCTCTGCTGACTTCCTGGAAAAGCAATGAAAGATCAGCCGAGTGACACATTCTTCTTGGGCGATGGAATGAGTGGGACAGGGCCGCCCCATCCCACCACCGCAGCTTTTATTTATTTACCCCTTCCCGGTCCCTCCGCCCTGGAATGTGCGCTGCGCTGCCTTGGGTCTCTCCCATAACAAACAAGCCACCACCACCAACATGGGTTTCTCACCGGCCCTCATGGTCTGCCTCTTGTGTCTTCTCGGTCTAAGCGCGGCAGCCACCACCAGTCTGAAGCCTTGCATCCTCTCTGCCGTCGACAATGACAGCACGCTCGCCGCCTTCAAGGGCGATCTCCTGTACCAGACCCTCGCGGTGAAAGTCTACAACCTCAACTACCCCGTCACTCCTGCTGCGGTGACCTTCCCGACCTCCAGCACCCAAGTCTCCGAGATCGTGCAGTGCGCCAACCAACTGGGATACAAGGTGCAAGCCAAGAGCGGAGGACACAGCTATGCCAACTACGGTATTCCCTCCCTTCCCCTCCCCCTGATCAGCAACAACACTGACCAAACCCAGGTCTGGGCGGCACGAACGGCGCCATCGTCGTCGACCTCAAGAACATGAAGTCCTTCGCCTACGACGCGACCACGCAGCGCGCCACCGTCGGCGCCGGCATGCTCAACGGCGAACTGGACACGCACCTGGTCTCCGCGGGTAACCGGGCGGTGGCGCACGGCACGTCGCCGCAGATCGGGATCGGAGGCCACGCGACCATCGGGGGACTGGGCCCGACGGCGCGGCAATGGGGGATGGAGCTGGACCACGTGCTGTCGGCGGAGGTGGTGCTGGCGAACGGGAGCATCGTGCGCGCATCGGACACGGAAAACCCGGACCTGCTGTTCGCCGTCAAGGGGGCGGGGGCCAGCTTCGGCGTGGTGACGGAGTTCGTCCTGCGCACGGAGGCGGCCCCGACCGAGGCGGTGCAGTACACCTACACGTTCAACCTGCTGGGGAGCGCGAGCTCGCGCGCGCAGCTGTTCAGCGACTGGCAGGCGTTCATCACAGAGGAGGACCTCACGCGCAAGCTCGCCAGCATCATCACCATCCTGGCCGGGTCGGTGATCATCTCCGGCACCTTCTTCGGCTCGCAGGCCGAGTACGACGCCCTGGGCCTGGCGGCGCGGTTCCCCGGCGCCGACGGCAACTCCTCCGCCATCGTGTTCACCGACTGGCTCGGCCTGACCGCCCACTGGGCCGAGCAGAGCATTTTGGATCTGACGGGGGACATCCCCGCGCACTTCTACGCGCGATGTCTGGCCTTCCAGCAGGACACGCAGATCTCCGAGGATGGCGTGCAGCAGCTCTTTGAGTATTTGGACACGGCGAGCACGGGCTCGTTGCTCTGGTTCGTCATCTTCGATCTCGAGGGTGGCGCCATCAACGACGTCCCCAACGATGCGACCGGGTTCGCCCATCGGGATACCCTGTTCTGGATGCAGTCGTATGCGGTGACCTTGGGCCAGGTGTCGCAGACCACGTATGACTTTTTGGATGGCGTGAACGAGATCATCCGGAATAATACGCCGGGGATGGGAGATGGGGTGTATCCGGGTTATGTGGATCCGAGGCTGGAGGATCCGCGGCGGTCGTACTGGGGTGGGAACTTGGAGCGGTTGGGGCGGATTAAGGCAGCGGTGGATCCGGGGGATGTGTTTCATAACCCGCAGGGGGTGCTGCCTGCTTAGGGGTTATTTTCTCCCGGAAGTGTTGTTAGCAGTGGTACATAGTACGTAGTATAGCATTTCGGTAGCGGGTATTTACGTGAGGCGTCACTCCGCGAGTTAGCTTTACATTGGTCAGTACATCGATATTACTTCTTCATGGAATATCTGTAGAGTTATGATGATACTCAATTAACTTAAAATATGGACGAAGAAAAAATAGGAGGAACATGATCGGTGGTGGAGGACTCCCAGCCGAAGCCGAAGCCTAAGGCCAAACCGGCTGGATCTCTTTACCCTCGGCCTTGTCAAGCGTCTCCTCACTGAACGTCGGGCGATAGAATCCGTAGATCGGGTGGTAAGACCTCGGGGTCGGGACCGCGTCATGCTCCGCCTCGAACACAGCCCCATCTTCTTCAAGATCCACCTCTTCGCGGATCTCGCCCTCTTCGAGCTCATCCTCCAGGATCTCTCCCTCCTCGAGCTCCATCTCTTCATCCTCCATTCCAACATCCTCCTCCATTTGGACCTGCTGGACCCCATGAGTGTCCACCCCCTCTTCCTCTTTCTGCACACCCTCAAGGCCAATCTCCTCCTTCTCCTCCACCACCTCCACTTTAACCTCCAATTCAGGTTCCTCAACCACCATCCTCACCCCCATCCCCTCTTCCTCCACATCCTCCACCTTGATCACCGGCTCCTCAACCTCGACCTTAACCCCCTTCCCACCCTCTTCTAGATCCTCAATCCCCGGCCCCCCCAAAGGAAGCCCATGCACCCGGAAAAGATGCAAATCCCAGGAAAGCTTCCCGTAGAAATGCCGCCCGCACCGCCCGCAGGTCTGCGTCTTGGGCCCGTGGATCACCCGATGATGCCGCCGGAGGTGGCACAGCGACGGAAACACCCGCTGGCAGTGCGGGCGCGCCCACCCCAGCGGCGACATGCAGACGTACCGCCCGGGCTCCTTGTGAACGCAGCGGATCGGGCTGCCGGCGTCGTAGCCCTTGCCCGAGGGGCATTTGGCGGGCAGGGTGTGGATTTCGCGCGAGAGGGTGAGGATCTCGGGGGCAGAGGCTGGGGGTTGTTTTTTGGGGGTGCGTGGGGTTTGTGGGGTGCGTGGGGGTCTAGATGGGGGTGTGGGGGCCGGGGATGCGGAAGGGAGGGGGGGTCGGTGTCTTCGCGCGCGGCGGGTGGGTGGTGAAGATGATGATGGGGTTTCAGGGGTTGCTGGGGTTCCGGGGGCTTGGGGGCTAACGGGGTGGGAGAGGGTCTGGGTGAGGGCTGGCGGGAGCATCTGGGTGAGGGTTAAGGGGGCTGGGTAAGGCTGGCCCGGGAGGGTTCGGGGGAGTCTGTACCGGGGACGGGCCGGGGCGGCGGGGGTGGGTGGGTTGCTGGGCCGGATTTGGGATGGGGGGGTGGATGGGCGGTTCACGGGGGTGAAGGCCATGGGGTTGCCAGCGGCTGTTGCTGTTGCTCGGGCTGTAAGGGGGGCTATAGCGCTGGCTGTAGCCGGGGCTGTAGCAGTTGCCTGCTCCTCGCTGGGTGGCGAGGCGCGGTTTGGTGCGGTTGACTGAGAGGCCATGATTCTACAGTACCAGCAGTTTGTTTGGGGGGTTGAATGTTGGAATTGATTGAGTCATGCAGACTTTTTTATATTCATCTTGCTATATGGACGGATAAAGAGAGCGTTGAGGCTACATACAAAGACCGGCCCGGTTCCATTGGCCCGGTCCCTTTGGTATGGTGGTGAATAGATGGTATCTCCATCGCCTCTTTGACACGAGGTCATGTTTTCTCATTGTTCGAGTACATCGGATATCGATATTTGTCTTCTGCAGAGAACTTCCTCTGCAGGCTGTGGATCTATCTACTGATCCTGGATGCATCATACACCAGGTATCAATCCCTCATTTACCGGAGAAAACCTCCGCCATGAGATACCCCCAACCCTCCTACTGAAGGATTCCCCCAACCCCTTCTAACTGTATGATCTTCACTTGGTCGTCTTCCTCAACCTTGCAGCCCGCCACAAAGACTCCATGTTCTTTCTCCATGTGCAACCCCCAGGAGAATTGCCCGTAGAACCGCTGTCCGCAGAACGGGCACGGCTCCAGCAGTTTATCATGCAGACTGCGATGGTGCGCCTGCAGGTTGCGCTTATTATCAAACTGCCGATTGCAGCGTTTGCCGTCGGTGGTGACGGTGCAGCGGACCCGGTCGTGGAATTGGCAGAAGCTCAGCGGGACGCGGTAGGGTTTCTGGGCCGGTGGGCTGAGCGGCGGCGCGGCCGGGCCAAGAAGAAGTGGGTCGAGCGCTGCGGACGGGATGGGCTGATGCTGCTGCTCCTCCTGCGGCAGTGGATTCAGATGCTGGTGGTCGGGCAGCTGGTGGAAGTAGTCTTGCTGCGAGTAGGGTGGGGTTTCGAGTTTGATGTCGATTTCCGGAGTATTTGCTTGCGCCATGGTGGATGCTGGCGAGTAAATTTGTTCAATGGTTGTTGATGGTTGACAGTTGCTGAAGAGACGTTTGATTTGTTGATGAGAGAGCTTGTAATCTTGAAAGATGGTTTCTTCTGAGTGTGTGGTCGAGAACAGGATAAGAGGTGATGGTTAAATATGTGTGGAAGCCAAACGCTAAAGATGAGCTCCGATGCCTATTCACTGTATAAGGATTGTGAGGTCGGCCAGGTATCAACTGGGATTGAAAGACTAGAGCAAATCTGTGTATAGCTCGCTGTTGTTTGGGTGTGTTGCTTCACATGGGCAGGAAGCAGGCACCGGCAGTTTCCGGTAATCCCCTCTTGTTATTCACCGTCGCGCCTTCCGTTTTGGGACCGTACTGACTCGACCATGGGCACCGAAAGCAACTCTTTCAACTTCTGCCAGGTGAAGGTCAATAATGCTATCCCGAGTCGTATCGAGTGAATGCCATGCGAGGGAAGATCTCCACTAGACCTCCCAGATCTGCAAGGACACATCTCTATCTTTATCCACCATCTGTCAAAAGCCGCCAGAGTATCAACCTACTCCAGCCACCCCATCGACAGTCCAATCTCATCTACAACGCACACAAGTCAGTATTCTTACCCAAACCCACGGGGATCACAAGACACAACCGAAGGAAACATACCTCTCATCCCTCCCACCGCCTCAAACGCAGTCGCATAATTCCCCAGAACCTTCCACACCCCGCGCAGACTCTGCCGCAGCTCCTCCACGAATCCGTCCAACGACCGGCCACTCCCGCTGCCCCCACCGCCGGTGCCACCGCTGCTGTTCGAGCTGACACTCCCCCGCGCCTTCATTCCCAACATCATCATCGCATAACTCGCCTGCATCGCGCAGCAGGCGAACGACGGCATCGTCCGGGGGATCTCTACCCGCGAATGCCGGGCGAGGTATGGCGGCCGCGTGAGCGGGATCTCGTTCGTTGGGTTCGGGTACGGGAGGTTGTCGAGGAGATTGGTGATGTTGAGGGCCGCGTGGAGGCAGATCTTCGAGGAGGCGTGACTGGAGAAGGGGAAGGAGATACGCGAGTTTCGCGACTGGTTTGGGGTTTGGCTCGAGGGTTGGGGGGCTGGCATGCTGCAGCAGGTTGGTGCTGACGTTGCGGACGAGGGGGTCGTCGCGTGGAGGTCGCAGTGGCGCCGGCGGAAGATCGCGGCGTCTTGGAAGGCACAGAAGCGGTGCGTCTTGATCCGGGCGCTACTCTGTGTTAGGATACTGGGTGAGGGTGTAGTGAGGTTGGGGTAAGGGTCCCACCTGTGGAGCTTGATCTCGGCGATGTACTTCATGCTCTGTAGTGCTATTATCTCGGGGGAGTCGGTGGGGGTGGGTGGAAACCGCGGTATCGAGGGAGATGACGCCCGACACGGATGTAAAAGGTAGGTGATCTGACTGTCAAGATCCATCATACGCTTCGAGATCCATGGAGCGTTGTACTGCGATTTGATGGTGAGATTGAGATCGTGGACGAAGGTCGTGGCTTCGAGGATCGTCTGTTGGGCTTCGATGAGGAGTTTCCAGCCCTGAGCTGTTAATATGAAGTTCAACCCTCTGAGAAGATTTCCCGGAGAGAAGACTTACCTTCGGGTATGGGGTCACAAAGCGAGGGTCGTACAAGTTGATCACAGGAGGCTAATATGGTCAATCAGCAATAGGCCAGCCCAGAATGTGAGTGACACGTACCATCCCGCTCACAATCGATCCCTGACACACCGTCATATACTGTACTCATTAGCACACATCTCCACTCCGCAAGAAAGAAACATACTGTCATCCACCACGCCCTCCGTCTGGCCTCCGCGAAGCCATCCTCCTCCACTGTCTCATGCAATGATACACTCATCGCCGCCGTCAAAGCTTGTCCCGCCCGGTTGCACATCTTCTGGATATTCCCCCGCTGCGCATACTCATAGCTACTCAGCAACACCAATGCCAGCACCGCCTCCAGCCCAACCGGCACATTCACGTGAAACGGCTCGCGCGTGCACTGCGCCACCCCCTCCGATAGCGCGCGCGACGGATCCGACGCCGAATCTAGCAGTTCCAGATCCGCCTCCACGGCTTCCAAGGCCGATTGCGCATATGAATGTGCCATTTCTCGTCGGAGCTTGACGCATTCGGGCTTCGAGGGTTGTCGCACCTCCGGATGAGGTATCAAGGCTAGAATGGCGCACACCGCAAGCGCCAACGGGCTGGACGGTCGGTAGGTCGCGGGGCCGTAGACGGGTTTGTTGCGCACGGGGAGGCGCTCAGGCGGAGGGAGAAGGGGGCAGTAAAGATGAATGAAGACGTAGTATGCGTCCAGTCTATTCTTCTCGTCAGCTCGCCTCCACCGCATCTTAGGAATGGCACGTACATATCATCATCCGACGCATACGTCTGCAGGAGGTCCGGCTCCACAGCGGGCTCCTCCTCTACCTCAGACGGTATCCGCACGCTGTCCTCCGCGAAAATCTCATCGAATATTTGCTCAATCTCTGACACTGAGCTCTCGATACTTCGAAGTCCTGCTCCTGGAGCACCCAGTGTGAAGAGCTGGTCCAGCCAGACTACTCCTGTTAGCCTACACACCTACACCACTACAAGCCCAAATACGTACCCTCATCTTCCTCCTGCGACAGCGAGATTTGCGACGACGGTCCCGACTCTGAACTTGACCCTGGTAATCCGAAACCCAGCCCATCCACCTCTACCTCGTCGTTCGACATCGAGTTCAGCGACGTATCCATGGACCCGGACACTGGCGTCAACGGCCGCTTCCGCTTCCGAATCCGCGGTCCCCCGCGCTTACTGGGTACATAGGAGCATGGTGTCTCTCTGGCGACACAGTTGCCGCATCGTTCGAGTCCGTCGCAGCGGATACGAAGGGTGCGACTTTGCGAAGGCATCAGTGATCCGCCTCTCTCGGTTACAGAGAGTGTGTTTATGAGTAAGGAGCATACCAAGCGAGGCAAGCGACCTTGACTGGCGGCTTACTGAATTTCCGATGTCCCGGACGAGTCGTGTCTGGTATTGTCTTAGGATTATCCATTCTGAGTAGTGGTCGATGGTATTCGTTCATGGGCAAATCGTCTTCCAAGGTGTTGCGACAAGCAGCAGGCAAAGTCGAGACAGAGAGACGCCATGACTAAGGGCAAGGATTGTGATATAACCATTCCCCGGAGCATAGAGCAAGATCCCGCACGGCCAGTGCACCAAATCCCGGACGAGGAGGGTGAGACGGGACGGTGGCTCTAGCTCGGGGTTTGAACTTGCGTGCCACGCGGGGCCCGCAATAACTGGAACCTGCAAGAATTCTGAGATTCTCGGGATCCTTACCGAGATCGCTGGTGGTATGATCGGAGAATTTGGGTTGGTGATTGGATGCGAGTGGTTGAGGTGGGGCACGAGCAAATCCCGAGGAGATGGTACGGAAACCCGTTGCTTGCATGGATTATTGGGTGCCACTGACGCGGCACGGTTCCTTATCCCTTCGAGAAAGCAGGTTGACACACTGCCATGGTCACACTTGCTGCGTCGGACAAGGTAAGGGAATATCTGAGCGGATGATTAGGTGGTCAGATTCGTGTAAGAAAGGCATTGGACTGAGTAGATCCAGACCAAGCCAATCAAGCTTTGTCAACTTCGGGATCTAATTCCAAGCATCCATGATATCTCCGCGGCAGAGGACGCAAAACTCTAACAATTCGTTGAGTCCCGGTCCGGATGCGCCCGTAACGATCTTGTGCCTCAGGCAGCGATTCAGGGAGGGAGGCGATTACCCCGAACTTGCTATACATTATTAACATTGATGATTTCGAGATGAGTCATTCTACTTTTGCTACAATGCTGCAGTCCGTCCAGTCGTGGCTCCTGGCCATCCGAGCGCTACTATCATCTGTTTGATCAGCTTTCACTTGTGGGTCAAAAGCCTGGGTAAAAAGTGGGTGTAAGCAGTTGTTATACTTGTTCACAGTTACGGGACAAACCACCTCTCATGGGCGTTTAATCGACAGGTGAGATTCCTAGCAAAGACGTCTGAAAGCATGGCCTTTTATCTCACACTCATAAGAATCAAAGGCGATTTCATTATTGAAAGTTGCGACCTCACATCCCGAGACTTACCTCTATGATCTGATCTTTCCTACGGCCTTGCGAGAACGACCTCCTCGCGAGTAGTCAACAAACGATGTCTAGTGCTGCTACGGAAGATTGAGTCAACCTGACCCCAAACGCCAAGAAACCCCACCCCCTTAGTCCCGTCATTTCCGTGCCTTTTGCCGAACCCCAAATCCCCAAAACCAAACTACGATAACACCAACAAGCTCCCATCATAACAACAATCCTCCTCATCATCCCTTGGATCCTATTAGACTAGCATTTACCTGCATCACCGAACAGCAACCTATCTGCAAAATGTCCTCCCCAAACCCCGTCGACGCCTCACCCCACATCCTCCAGCTCCTGACCACCCTCCACAAAAAGTCCCTCGACCAAGAAGCGGCCATCTCCAAGAAGGAGACAGGCAAGGTCGTCTCTTCTGACATTCTGGACAATCTCGACGCCGATCATGCCGCAAGCTCCTCGACCAAAACCCGAACTCAAGCCGAGTTTGACCGCCTCATGCTCGACAAGTTCATCGCCCTGGACGAGGACAAATGCCAGTTCGTGTACCAGCTCCTCACCGCGATGGGCGCCACCGCCGTCGTCGAGGCGGGCACCAGCTTCGGCGTGAGCACGATCTACCTGGCCCTCGCCGTGGCCAAGACCGCCGCCCGCACGGGCAAGCCCGGCACGGTGATCGCCACCGAGAAGGAGGCGAGCAAGGCGGCGATCGCGCGCGGGTACTGGGCGCAGTGCGGGCCGGAGGTGCAGCGGATGATTGATCTGAGGGAGGGCGATTTGCTGGTCACCCTGCAGGAGGGGGTGCCGGAGGTGGATTTGTTGCTTTTGGATAGTGAGTTCCTGTCTGGTTAACTGGGGGAGGGCTTGCTCCTTATGGATTGTGGCTAATGTTGGGTGTACTGTACAGTATGGTGTGCGCTGGCGCTCCCCACGCTCAAGACGGTTCTGCCTCGGTTGCGGCGCGGGGCGGTGGTGTTGACGGATAATACGCTCTCCGCGGCTGAGGGGTATAAGGATCTTTTGGCGTTTTTGCGGGATCCGGTCAATGGGTTTAGGAATGTGACCTTGCCGTTTACGGGCGGGTTTGAGATGAGTGTTTATACGCCGTGATCTATTGATTGCTACATCAGAGTAATGTTGGTGGAGTCTAGCTTGGTGTATTCTTACGGTGCGAGAGATGCTGCAATGAAGAACGGGTCAAACCCTGACACAAAATAGTACGAAGCCCTCTCTGCTACTCCCTCGCCCACTCAACAACCCGCTTCAACACCGTCAATCCATCCGTCGGCCGATCCAAACGAGCCAGATGCGCCTCCAGCTCCTGCTGCCCGAGTCCCCCATTGTACACATCATCCTCCTCCAACAACAGCTTCTTCGCCATCTCGGCCTCAATCTCCGGGTGCGACTGGAACGAAAGCACCGTGTTCTGCTGGTTCACGAACATCTCATGGTTCTCCGCGAGGTGAATGAACCCGTCGCCGGGCTGGGCTACCTCCCGCACGTGGAACTCGGGTAACCGCTGCCAGGCTGATCAGTTGGGCTCGAGTTGAAAGAAAAGTGCATAGGCAACATACGTAGCTAGTAGTGTTCTCGTCACGCGCGAAGAACTTCCTCCCCGCTTCCGTTAATTGCACATCTTCCAGTCCAGCCTGCTCAAATACCACAGATTATCAGCCCTCACCTCCCAGCCATAGTCAAGAGCCGAGGGGTGTATGTATACATACAATCGGCCCCGAAGGCACAGCGCGCACGACACCCCCAAACGCCCGGGAGATGGCCTGATGACCCCAGCAGATCCCCAAGATCTTTGTCCGGGGTGCCTCCTTCGCTGCGGCTCGCAGAAACTCCAACACCCCTAGCACCCAGGGCTCGGAGGAGGACGCGTCCGCTTTGCCCCCCGTCAGGACGACCAGGTCGTAATCTCCGGGGCGCGGGAAGCGGCGCTCGAAGACCGGGTCGTACATGTCAATCTGGGCGGTCGGCGCGACGGCAAGGAAGGAATCCTGGTAGCATTTGTGCACGTCGTGCCAGAAGTCGGTGTCGGGGGGTGTGTTGATGAGGATGGCGATGCGGAGAGGGTTCGGGGTGCTCATTTTGTGGTGATTAGTTCAACTTGATGCAGCTTTGAGAATGTAAGCTTTCGGAGGCTCTCTGCGAAGATATCAGATCATAATTTGAGGGGGCTTATATAGCTGTGTGCTGGCTTCTACATGGTTCTTCTGATACACAGATTTTCTGCTTGTTGGGGCACCATCGCACCTGCGCACCGTTTACGGTTAGAGCGGTTCGTGCGTGATGGTCTCCGTACGTCAGCTTTCGGCCTGAAGGAGCTTTTCAAGAGCCTATCACCCGTGACTCATTTCCCGTTGTAAAGAATAGTGGCCAACTCCGCGGACACCCATATTCGATTACTCGCTCCATCTATGGCGGCGGGGAAGTCTCCAGGGCTTGCGCGACGCTAAACCCAATCGGGTGAGCGAGAACGATGCTAACGCAGGGTAGGGCCCCCACAATTTACCCGATCGGGTGCACGAGACCTAACATCTCCAATTTCTCATATTCTCTGTGTCAGCATCGGGGAGTGTAGGGTGTGGATAAAACATCATATAAAGGAGTACACGTCTCCTGGCCCAAGCATTGATCTCAGATCTTTCTCTCGTCGCTCACCAGAACGAACTCGTACCCTCACGACAGCCAACATGTTCATCCCCAGCGTCCACGCCGAAACCGACACGGAGGCCCTCCTCCAATTCATCCACGAGAATCCGCTCGGCCTCCTCATCACCGGCATCCCCTCATCGGTGCACGACTTCCTGCAATGCACCCACGTCCCCTTCGTCCTCGACCCGCCATCCCAGAACGAACCCGCCCGCCTCCGCGCGCACATCGCCAAGCAGAACCCGCAAGTCAAGGCGCTCCTCGAAACCGCCACAAAGGACACCGACACCAACAACAGTGCCCTGGAGATCCTCACCCACGCCCAAGAAGTCCTCGTCGTCTTCACAGGCAGCCACCACCACTACGTGACCCCGAAATTCTACACCCAGACCAAACCGGACACCGGCAAGGTCGTGCCCACCTGGAACTACGCCGCCGTGCAGGTTTACGGAAAGCTCTCGGTGTACTACGACTCCCGGCGCGCGGACACGGGCGCGTTCCTGGCGAAGCAGATGCGGGATCTGTCGGAGCGGTGCGAGCGGGGCATCATGGGCTTTACCGGGGAAGGGGGCCGGGCGGGGCCGTGGACGGTCGAGGATGCGCCCGAGCGGTATATTGAGCTCATGCAGCGGAATATCGTCGGGGTGGAGATTGAGATCTGCAAAGTGGAGGGGAAGGTGAAGATGAGTCAGGAGATGCGGAAGGGGGATCGCGAGGGGGTGGTCCGGGGGTTTGCGGAGTTGGGGGGCGAGACGGGCAAGGCGGTCTCGGAGTTGGTGCGCGAGAGGGGGGAGATGGCTGATAGGGTGAAGGGGGTGTAGTCTTGTGGGATTCTTGGGGTATCTGAAGTTTGCATTATTGTTTGTATTGTCTACATATAGAGTTAGGGTTGGGTTGGCGCCATTTACTGCGTACTATGTGTGGTTTGGATGTATGGAAAGCTTTGCCGTACCAGTTCATAGGTACTCATATCAGGCCCAATCTCTGGGAGTGACACGCCATATTTTTGATGCTCACTACACATGAGCTTTACTGGGAAGCTAAAAGAAAGGGGGGCCCAGGGGTTCTCCCCCGGAACGGTATATTCCTTCAGTAGTCAGAATTAGCGTTGTTTAGAAGCTGAAAAATAAGGGGTATTTATATGCAATACGCATTGGAATATGCTTTGCGAAAACAGTCTCGAGCCGCCTATGTGCCCAGTGCTGGGTCAAGGTGGTGACCCGCGGGCTAGAACTCTGGCTGCCGGAATAGGCTTAGCTTCAATCGGCTGCGGTACGGCTCGGTTGAGCACATTTGGAAGCCACGTGATTGGTCGTTACCACTTCTGACAACTTTGACTCCGTCACCCGTCAGCATCGCACTTTCACAGATTCATCGCATCATTGAGATAAGGTCTTGCAGATGACCCATGTACAAGCCTGCTCCGCCTAGACCAAAGAAAACTGATATCATACGCTCGCGCGATGGCTGTACTAGCTGTCGCAAGCGCAGGACCAAGGTTGATTTGCCATAGCATCACCGTTCCCAATAACAGCACTAATCGAGAATCCAGTGTGATGAGGAGAAGCCAGCATGTGGGACCTGCGTACGATTGGGGAAGGAATGTGAATATTTGAAACCCGGACTCAAATTCCAGATTGTGACCGGCCAGAGTTCGAGATCCCCGTCCGAGGATGGAGCCCCGTCCAATGCGACAGCACAAGAGCTGGCTGGCGACCAGGCGTCCAGCATTCAAAACGAGCAGAGGCTCCGGATCGGAACCAACAGTCTGGTCAGATCCCTGCAGACGACGGAGCGGGACGTCTTCTACACCACCTATTGGGAGGATCGCTGTCTACCAGCCTTACACCCCGTCTTCCACTCTACCACACTCCTGATCCCCGACATGCCGATCATCAGAGACGCGGTGCTGGCTCTGTCATCCTGCAATATCAGCCGTCTTCGCGGCGAGCGCAAAGTATCAGCGACAGCATTGATGGGCCCGTGGAGTCCGAGCCTAACCCACCAGACCGCGAGTCATCTGTATTACTCCTCCGCGATCAGGAGACTCGCCGCCCTGACGTTGGCCGATTTTCATCACAATAACACAGTCATTCTCACGACGCTGGTATTGTTCGCGCACCTCGAATCAGCCATGGGTAACTTCAAGGGCTTCTGCTGCCACGTGCAGGGGATCATGAATCTCCTGGAGTGGCGACAGGGCGTCGCAGACCCAACCATCAGATCGCTCCTCACCTCGTGGATGCAAATCCGGTATGTGGTCTGGTGGGCGCGCGCCTACTTCAGCTCGGTGGAGATTCATCAGCAATTGCCATCCATCCCGTTGCCCGTCTCGCTGGTCAAGGATTCACCACGCACCCAGCACGGGCGCCGGGTCCTGGCGTTGAGCATCATGTGCGAGTCCCATCGCCTGAACTTCAACGCTGTGTTTCAGTATTCCCGGGATCAGATAAACCCACGGAGAGCCGAGGAAGATCCAGCGACGTGCATCTCGCGTCTCCGCCAACAGGCTGCCACACTAGACGAGTGGCTCGCGCACCTCCCGCCCGCTGAGCAGCCCATCTACGGCCCCATTGACCCGACAGGCAACCCGACCATCCACTTCTCCTCTCATGATGCAGCACTGAACTACGCATACCACGTCGTAGCGCGCATCATGCAATGCAGTAGTTTTCTCGCCCTCCTGCAGAACCCGCACTCAACCTTCCTTGACCACGAGCCCCACGAGGAAGATATGTGGGTCCAGACTCTCGTCCGCATCGCCCAAGGGACTGACATGCAGACCTCCCTCACGCGCAACAGCTACACCATCGGATTCACAGGCCTGCTGCTGGCGGGTATCCTACGGTGTCGGAGTCTGTCGACCGGGTTGGAGATCGAGCAATGGTTGCAGAGGCTACTGGATCTGCAGCCGACCGAGGAAGGCGCGTTCCCTGTGTACCAGACCCTCAGCGTGGTGCAAGCGATCAACCGGCAGAGGGCGGTCGGGCGGGATGTGTTTGCCGTGACGCAGCCGGTGGACGATGGCGGAGGGTTGCCCAAGGTCACGGCGTATAATAGTCAGTCGATCAGCTGTCTTGTCTTCCATGGGTATTGTCGACGGATGGGGGTTGTTTTTGAGGAGTGTGTCGTTTTGGGGGGGTAGGTTTTATTAGGTATTGTGTCCTGATGCCTCGTTGCCTGAGGCGTGCGTCGGCGAACGTGTAGTTCAACTTTAGGTGCCCCGTTGCAGTCAAAATGGTCAATCACAAAAAGCCATGTTCAAAATCAGATCGATGGAACGAACAACAGAAATGAATTTCTAATCAATATAATACAGAGTGGGGAGCTTCATCTAAGCTGGCTTAGCTCTCATCTAGTTCTCTTCAGCAGGGGCAGGGGCATCCAGCGGGGTGGACAATCCGACCCGATCGACGGTGCGGGTGTACTCGACCCCACCGTTGACACGGTCCTCGCGCACCACCAGATCCTTGCGGTTGGTGTCCACCAGCAGGCGGATCAGATCGGGGCGCATGTAGTGGCCGCCCTAGCAAATCAATTAGCCTGCGCTCCATGTCAAATCAGGTGCAGCGAAACTTACGAAGTCAGCAAGGGACTTGGACAGGTGGCACTCGTCGAGGTCGATCTGAACCTTTGGTTTAGTCTGGAAATTCTGCTTGGAACCAGGTAGGCGATACGTACATCGACGAACAGAAGACCCTCGAAGTCGGTGCTAGGGTGGGGCACGAGGTTCTGGCCGTCGGGGCCGAAGATGCGGCCGTGGCCGTTGTAGATCTTGGGGTCGTCGAGCTCCTTGCCCGGGGGGGTGTTGAGCTTGACGCCCTCGGCGGTGATGGTCTGCCAGGGGGCGAGGGTGTAGGTGCCGGTCTCGATGGCGTAGGCGGGGGTGACGATCTGGGGCATCTGATCAGTATGAATATCCTTTGACTTTTACCTGGGGGATGATCTTTGATCGAGCGGGGGGGGCAGGGGGCGTACATCACAGTTGGACTCGGCGATGTTGGTGGCCGGGTCGGGGTACTTGAGGGTCTCGCGACCGGGGTAGAGGGGCCAGGCGGCGACGTGGACCTGCTCGCCCAGCGAGGCGGCGTAGGCCTTCATGAAGGGGTTCATGTTCTCCCAGCAGTTGAGGTGGCCGAGGCGGCCGATCTCGGTCTGCATGACCGACTCGGTGGTGTCGCCGGTGCCGTCGCCGAAGACCAGGCGCTCGACGTGGGTGGCGCGGATCTTGCGGCGGTGGTTGATGATCTCGCCCGCGGGCGAGATCATCACCTGCGTCGTGTACAGGCTGGCCAGGTCCAGCTCCGAGTAGCCCAGCGAGACGAAGATCTTGTTGGCCCGCGCCGCCTCGCGGATCCGCCGCATCTCCTCCGAGTCCGACGCCAGACTGTTCTCCCGGTACTTCTTGAGCAGGGGCAGGCTCTCCTGGTAGGTCACCTTCCACATCCAGTAGGGGTAGCCGGGGATCCCTGGGGTGGTTGGTTAGTGGGTTGTGGTGTTGAGGAAGGAGCAGGGAGAACGGACAGAGCTCAGGGAAGGCGATGAACTTGCAGCCCGCCTTGCCGGCCTCGTTGATCCAGTGGATGGTCCGACGAGTCGACTCCTCCAGGTTGAACCAGCCGGGCTCGGCGTTGACGGCGGCAGCCTTGTACTTCTTGAGAACGGGGGCCATGGTGATGGTAGAAGAGGTTGATGCGAAGAGCAGTGATGCTTTTGCTGGGCTTGTTGGATGGTTGTGATGCTTGATGCTGTTGGTGATGGAGGAGATGGACAGTGGCACAACGGCCTTCTTATACCCTCGCAGGGCACCGTATCTTCAATCCGATCGACTCATCTCAACAAAGTCCTCCATCCTCACTCCATCCGGCTCACACGGAATCGGGTTCTGCTGATAGCAGCGTACGTGAGGAGTATGCAGCGCAGTATCAGTCGCGATATCGTGCCATGACCCGGGGTTTGGTAGTGCGGAGAAGCCAGTGGGGCATGGGTGGATGAAACAAGCCCGTCGGGCGCGGCGCATCGACGGTTTCTCGAAGGTGGATGATTAGTAGTCTTCGATTCAAAAAATGATGTGACGATCTGCAGAGTGATGATGGCCCCGCACTTGACTCCACTGCGGCGGGTTTCCTGGGTTCTTCAACTGATTAGACTCAAATCCCGGCCCGCAGTGAGGCAACGGGGCCGTTGTGCCCGGCCGGAAATTCCCGGAAGTATGTGCATGCTATTCCTGGACTTAGGGCTGGGCTGGGCTGGGCTGGGCTGTAAGCTGCGGAGTACTGTACAGGACTATCTTAGTAGGTGGAAGCAACATACATAATCACTAATCACCGCCGTGTCTGTCAGGCCTCCCCTCGTATCATCAAATCCCGTGGGTGGCATCCGAATCATGCCACCTGCGCAGAACCCCGACTCAACTCTCACACTGCAACACTTCCCAACCGTTCCCCCTTCAGCTGGGGATTGTACTCGACTCAACGCAAATTGCCATTCTCGCGATACACAGGCTTACTCCGTCCAATCCAGCACCGCCTTGATCACCTTCCCCTCACGAACATCAGCAAACGCATCCTCATAATCCCGGACCTTGTACACCCTGACCAGCTTATCGACGGGGAATTCGCCGTGGGCATACCGCTCGACCAGCCATGGCACAAACTACACCGTCAGCCTCACTACTACTCAATACGGTCCCCTCACCCAGACAGAGCAACATACCTTCGGCGGATAGACATCCCCCTCAATACAACCGACATACTCCTTCCCGCCCATCAAATGAGCAAACAGATTGAAGCGCACCTCCTCCGTGATCCCCGCGGCGCCCACCGAGACCGCGCGCCCGCGCTCCCGCAGCGCCGCCAGCATCAGCGGGACAACCGCCGGCAAGCCCGAACACTCGACCGCAAACTGCACCCCAAGCCCACCCGTCACCGCCTGAATCGCTCCGACCACCCCGTTACCCTCTTGCAGCGCAGCAGGGTTAACAGTATGTGTCGCCCCCAACTCCCTAGCCACCCGCAACCGCTCCTCTCTCACATCCACCGCAACAATCACCTCCGCGCCCACAATCCTCGCAGCCATAACAGCCGCTAACCCCACAGCCCCCGTCCCAAACACCGCAACGCTCTGTCCAGCCCGCAGTCGCAGGACATTCACCACCGCCCCAGCCCCGGTCTGCATCCCGCACCCCAACGGCGCCAACACCCTCAGATCCAACCCCGAAGAAACGGGAATCGCGCAGCGTCCACCGACAACCGCGACGCGGCTGAAGCACGACTGCCCGAAGAACTTGGAGTAGACTGCTCCGCCGGTTGCGGTCTGTAGGGGCGAGGAGCCGTCGGCGCGGTGGCCCGCCGTGTTGAGCAGCGCGAACGCGGCGCAGTAGGCCGGGTGCTTGGCGGTGCAGTTGGCGCAGCGCGTGCAGAAGTCGAAGGAGAGGAGGACGTGGTCGCCGGGGCGGACGTGCGTGATGGCTGCGCCGGTTTGGCGGACTGTTCCTGCTCCTGGTGGGTTTAAATGGGTGAGGGGGGGTTGTTTGGGGGATTCTGGGGGAGGGGAGTTTATTAGGACTGGAGAGGGGCAAAGGGATCGATACCTTCGTGCCCGAAGACCCCCGGTTGGGGACTGGGTAGTTCACCGCTCATGAGCATCAGATCCGTGTGACAGATGCCCGTCGCGTGGATGTCGACGGCGATCTCGTCGGGCGCGAGCGAGGAGATCTGCAGGGTTTCCCAGACGAGGGGGCCGTGGAGCTCGTGGAGGACGAGGGCGGCGGTCGTGATCGGTTCGGGCAGGGTCATCTTGTTGTCGGTGGATGTCTCTTGTAATGTCGTCTCTGGGATTGTAATTCGTAGGGGGGAAGAGGTAGGTGTTCTCGTAGGCTGTAGTCGATTGAATGCGCCCGTAAGAGTAGGACTCGAGGGCGAAAGCGGGGTATCACTCCCAAGTGCGCAGTTGGCGCCGACGCGGGGATCTGCACGGAGGTTGCACGGAGATAACCTTGCATGTCTACTTGCTTGGCAATCTGATTGGCTGATGTGAATTCAGTACTAGTAGTCTGGTAGTTGTACATAGCTAGCTGCCTACAGAACGTAGATGTGGGCTGGTGGCAGCTGTTTATCACCGCTCTAAGTTGTCTCTACCGCTTCCCCCACACAGTAAGGTGTGAAGTTCTTCCGCGAATGCCAATCATGAGTTGGAATAACCCCGGCATAGGTCTTGCAAATCTGATCTAGCTTTGATGAAAGCTCCGGGAAGGTGAGTATAATTGAATATTAGCATTCTGAAACCTCCAATACCCCTCAACTTCCGCGCCAAACTATAGATGCATTTCCCGCAAAGCATTTTCCAGGTCACTGGCACGGGTCACGCCGGCAGTTGTTTGATGGTGTTGGCCGCCAACAGCGGCTCCACACTCTGGACACCGAGAAAGCTCCATCGCACCACCGCACTCCCCGATTGTGAAGGGATGCCCGTTTTCGCAATAGTACCAGTGCCCAGTTCCCCGGAACTCCTCTGACATGGCAGCCAACACCGCCATGCGTTCCTCGTTCGTCACTGGGGCATAAAACTCCGAGCCACGAAGCATGGCCCTTGTGCCTTCGATTTCTCCTAGAAAGCCGCGGGTCTGCCCAGCGTGGAGCTTGCAGAGCCTTTCAGCCTCGTCAATCGCAGCAGTACCCTCTTGCAGCAGATCCTTTGCTTTGAATGGATCAGCCAAGTTCTGCCGCTCGAGTGCACAGAACTGGGCTAGGAAGATATTCCCCTCCACCTGCTGTAAGACACGCGAGGAAGTCGCTGCGTTGGCGCTGAGGTGATTACTCTCTTTCCTGTACCCTGCCAAGTTGACATACAGGCCGGCATGTCGTCCCTTTTTGCACAGGGCGAGAAAGTCTGCAAGGAGGGATGCGTCTAGGCGCAGCGAGAGGGCCGCCGCTTGAAGATAGCCCTTTGTTTGAAGCACATTGGCGTCAAAGTCGAATTTACCGGGGCTTCCCTTTCGCCGACGTGCATCTTCTACCATGTTGCGGACTCGAACGAACGGCTGCTCCTGCAGGTGCACCCTACTTTTATAGCTGTTGATCTTCTCCCGCAGAGCTATGAGCTCCTTCCACCGTTGCTTATCATACTTGGCGACATGTTGTCGCATCAATTTCACCTGATGCTCGGGGGGCCCCTCGAGTCGAATCTTGATATCAGCGCAGAAGACTTGTCTCGCGGTTTCTTTCGTCGGCGCTCGTGATTCATAGTGTTGCAATCTCGAAATGCACCG